CCACAAAGAGAGATTATTCCTTTATAAATTTTAATATTTCAGGGTATGCAGTCCTCATTTAGTTTAAAATTCTGTCATCCAAATCTTTGCTGGCAAGCTTCTTTTTTTTTTTTTTTTTTTGTCTGGAGGAACAGGCTTTCTTCGATGTTAATAGCTACATTTTCGTTAAATATCTCTTCTACATTTCTAAAGTGTCTGTATTATCAATTAAAAATATATCTTTCATTGACTTTTGTGAGTTTTTAGTATTTCTTTGTAGACTTAACCTATCTTGTTATATAATCATTATATATATGATAAAAAAACAAATTGTATTGAAAAAAAAACCAAATGGGGATTCTCGACTGAAGTTTGTCTTCCTCTCTTTTTTCTTAAGAAGTGTTTTCTTCCCTTTTATTCATCTTGGATTCTTTAGCTTATATTTTTAAATTTTTTATTATCACAAGGACAGATTTTTTTCAGTTTTGTGTAACTTTTATTATTTTCCGAATGTGAATGACGTTATTGGAATCAATCAACCATCTTCTAATTAAACAAATATAAATATCAATAAATAATGTTCTGACAAGTTGGTTCCATATGGCTTTCTATAATTTTATTTCCATTAATTCATATTTGAAGTCTTATTTATTATTGGAACAGAACAATTTTATTGAAATAGGAATGCAGAGGAGTTTACTGTTACAGTAGTTATATAATTTCATATGACACTACAATTTTATTGTCTGATGTTCTCAACCAGTCAAATCTCCCATGTCACTACAATTTAATAATCTAGAGATGTTCGAAGCTTTCCAATGCCTTGGCACTTGAGCATATAGGTTCTCCATGTCTTCAAATTTAGTAATGTTCTTGCCCTCCATTTGTTTGAGTGGGTTTCTGGCATTTGGTATAATGGAAAAAGAAAGGAAAACAAGCTTATTTGGATGGAAAGGTGGAAAACTTTTTCCGGACTAATGTCTTGCTAATGCCACCACTCTACCACCCGTCACCGTCACGTCACCGTCACCATTACCTCCACCACTGCACAACCACCTCCACCCCATCACTGCTGCTGCAGCGCCATCATCCCGCAGCCACAACCACCACCCTACCATAGGGATGGCATTTAAACCCGGCCCGATGGGACCCGATCCCCGACCCGATTGAACGGTTTTTCCCCGAAAATTATCCCATAGGGCCGGGGATGGTATTGAAAATTAAATCCCCGATAATTTTCGGGCCGGGGACGGGGATAAATTCCCCCACCGCCCGGCCCCGGCCCCGGCCCGGCCCGCCGCCCCGTTTAATCCCCGATTGATCCCGTATCTTATTATAATATATATGTATTATATTATATGTATACATTATATATATTATATGTTTGGCTGACCCTCCTCACATCACACAGTCACACACTCACTGTCTCTCTCCCTCAAACCTTTACAGACGCAAATCGAGCTCTCCCTCCTCCGCCGATGGCGCTCCTGTCCCTCGTCCACCGATCTCCCTCTCACTCCCTCGTCCGTCGATCGC